ACTCACTTTAATTCCCTGTAATTCTGATTTTTCTTATTTATGCCTAGTCACTATTTTATATGATATGCTGGAATTTAAGAATTTTATATGAATAAATGAACGAATGCGTCTAATATACATTAGGTCTTCAAGGTTTTTGAGAGAACAGATGATTTTTAGCTTCAAAACACAAGATATATGGGGCTGGGGTTGTGGCTCAGCGGTAGAGTGCTCGCCTAGCAGGTGCAAGGCCCTGGGTTCAATCCTCAGCACCACATAAAAAATAAATAAGTAAATAAAGGTATCGTGTCAACTACCACTAAAAAATATCTTTAAAAAACCTCAAAGTATATTTTCGATGTGAAGTAGTGTCTGGTGGAAAGAGAATAAACGGTTCTGTTGCTGCAAAGATGATGAGAATGTCCTACCAGTCAGGTAGAGAAGTCTTAACGGAAGTCGTGGGCTGTGCCGAGGAGCTTGGGCCTGCCTAGCTGGACGGTCCTCTGGGGACGGAGACTGGAAGCGGGTCCTGGGGCCGATCCTCCAGAGAAGGGGAGTCTGCACCCCACGAGGCCCAGCTCCCTGCACCCCTCAGCAGGTAAGCTGCACACGGCTTCCTGCAGCGCCCTGCCGTCATCGGTGACACAGGACGGATGACCATGACCAGAGCACTTTGCCCCTGCAGCTGCTTCCATCTGGAGCACCACCGAGGGGCATCGTACCTAAGAGCTGCTTCTCATCCCACTTTCATAGACCAGAAAACTCCGATGACATAAGGGACGGGAAGTGGTCCGAGTCGACCACCAGCAAGCACTGCAGAGGCCACTGGTTCCGCCACAGCTGGCTAGCAGCGGCAGAGGCTCGGGACTGGGACGCGCGGCCAGTGGGACTCATTCAGGCTGGAGCTGGTTCAGGTGAGTCCGACCGTCGACGTCTAACAAGGTGCCGTGCAGCAGGGCTTCCAGGAGACCAGGCAGCTCCCCACAGGAGGCAGAAGACCTCAGGACTCCTGTCTCCTTCCCACCCACCTCTGCCTGTTCTTTGAGGCCAGCTGCTCCGCATGGCAACGCACACTGAACAGCAGCTCTGGGCTCACACCCACTGTGCTCACAGTCCAAGAGAAAAGGTGCCTTTCCTAAAGGCTCTGACTTGGAAACCTCTGTGAAGGCGGCCCATGACCAGAGGCAGCTGTGTGCCAGTCCCAGTACCCAGAAGAGGGAGAAATGCCCCCCTGGGGGTCACAGCTGTGGGTGGCAGTGGGGTCTGTCACTACAGCAGGAAAGACAAAACGGTGTATGTCCACAGTAGAGATTTTCTTAGTTGAAAGAACTGAAGCATATGCATGTTCACCAGATACTTCCAAATATATTTGAGCAATAGATTATCTGATGTGCACATGAAAACTACATCATGATTTAATTTTTGAATCCTGTTCTCCTTCCTTTTCTTCCTGCCCAATTTTTCTCACCTCCTGGACAGATCCTGGTCACCACGTACCTCCACCTGTGGTTTCTGCTGTGAGGCGCTAGGGCCAGCATGGAAGGCACGTGGGGCCCAGGGTGCTGCTGGTCACGGCAGCCCTTCAGGGCCTCACCCTGCTCTCTTGGTAACTGGGTATTGTGATTTTACAGAAAAAAATGAAAGAAAGTGTTATCAGCAAGCTTCCTTTCAGAAACCTGTGGTAGATACTGACATGTTGAATAAGGCATCAGTGGGTACATGTGCCACTGGAGTCGATGTCACAGGTGAATGGCACATCCCACGGCACCACTGTCAGATGGATGATGACCAGGAGTCACCTTCCCAGAGAGAGTGAACAGTGGCCAGGTGGTCACAGGTCATGGCTACGGCCTGGCAGAGCCCAACGGGGTTCCAGGGCAAGGAGGCTTTCCTGAGAAGCTGACGCTGAGCAGGGGGCTGTCCCAGGACCGCGTGGCTCAGTCTCAGCTTGACGTTTGGGTTGAAAGATCCTTGGCTGAGGAAGGTGCCTTGTCTGCTGTAGGCTGCTTGGCAGCACCCTGACTTCAAGCACAGCAACTTCCCCGTAGGAGAGGAGAGGAGATGGCCGGCTGAGGGCTGCTCAAGGATGCAGGGAGGAGGACACACAGCACTCAGCACGGGGTGCTCAGGAAGGGCAGACCCTCAGGCACTGCTGGCCTGGAAGCAATTCTGGATTTCATTCCTAACTCAGGTTACGTCCTGAGCGGTTTCAGGTGGGAGTGACACGTCCACCCTTGAGACCACTTTGCTGTGAGAGAAGGATTTAAAACCACGAGGATCAGGAGGTTCGGATTGGCACGTCATGGTCATGTCTGAAGTAGATTGAAAGTACAGGCTTGACAAGAGCAGCCAAGGAGGAGGAGGACGGCCAGAGAGGAGGACATCAGGAAGAGTGAGGTGCCGTGCCCAGGAGGGCAGCTGTGGCCTCGGTGCCCTGGCAGGGGCATCCCAGCAAGAAGGCGCCTCGCTTGCCTAAGGTCTCCCTATGCTTCCCGACATCTGCCTCCACATGAATCACACCATGATTCCACAAGGCCTCCTCCTCCCCCTTGCCCTGGCCCCTTCACCTCTTCCCCAAGCCTGGCTCTTCCAATCACATCTCTTCCTGGCTGCCTTCAAAGACACCTGCTTCTAATCTGCAAAGCTGGAGCGTCCGCAGAAGTCCTCTACAGCAACTCTGGCCACACAGAACTCTCAGAGTCAAGAGAACTTCCACCTTTCCCCTCTCCCCACACAGACACATGTGTTAAGCCTCTGTGCCAGGCACTGGGCTGTGCCCTAGGACTGCAAGTTAAAACGAGGCTTGGTCAGGAAATACTCGCTGGCCTCCTCACTAATACATCTGGAAGAAAGGACTTTGCCTGGTATCTAATCCCAAATTGGCCCTTCAGCCACTGCTTCTCCCTGCTGTATATCACTCGGCCCCACCCGGCTCAGTCAGGGCTTGCCACACCTTCCACTGTTGCTTGGCTCCTGAAATCACTGGTTACAGCTCTTCAGAATGGAACACTGTGCACCAGTCATTAGTGGGAGGCTGGGTCTAGCCACAGGGCAACATGCTTCCCAAAGTCTGAATTGTCATCAATCCAGAGTAGCACTAAGAGGCCTGGGGCACATCAGTGCTGGTTCGTGAACTCTGCTGGATGGCAGCTGAGCACACTGGAATGTTCTTGGCACTCCAAGGAGGTGAACTCCCTTTCATACCTCTGCTTGCACAGGGTACAAAGATTGCTCTTTATATATGTGGGTCCACCCAGTCAGGAGTTACTGAATCAACCCCCAGGCATGTCCCTCAAGGACTGACAGTAACTCTGAGAGGTGATACATTTTACGTCTACAATGTGATCTTTCTGGGAGCAACTGTGATCTAGTTAGCAGCACAATGTCAATATCCCATCTTTTCATCTGCTTCAGACTTTACCCTCTATATGCCTAAATTGCAGAGAACTGGTAGAAAGTTTGAAACTATATGATGAAAAAAGTGTATAGTCAGGATTTAGACAAATTGTTCATCCAGGAAACCTGAAGGTATGCGTCTGTAATCTCCAATGAGGAAGGCAGGTTGTGAAAGGCTTTATTACCCACAGTTCATATTATTTCTCAAGAGTAGAAGTGGCGATTGCTGTCAGGCACACATAAAAATGATCTAGTACAGTGTGACTATTACAATAGAAGTAAGTCCAAAAGGGGTAAAGGAAGGACAAGTTCTGAAAGGACCCATGGAGGACGTAAGCACTCAACTGAGACTCAAGGAACTGAGAGAACCTGTAGGATGGAATGGTTACTGTGGAGTCCAGGGGGAAGAACGGCAGATGAAGTCGGCAGCCGGGGGCCAGATCATGAAGAGCCCTACCGGTGATGGGTGGTCAGTAAAAGCTCTGGGCAGAGGAGCATCATGATCCTATATTTTTTATCACAGAAAAACCATGAGGGGAATGTTGGTTGCAGTGAAGAGGGGCTTAACTGTAGGACACAGTGTGACTATTCCAATAACGCAAGGGATGAGTCAGAGGAATGATAATTGAAAGATGGAAACACTGAGTGCAGATTGGAAAGAGGGGTGGATCTGAGCCACTTGGGGAGATGAGTCAATAACACTTGCTATTAGCATAGAGGGATGAAGATGTAACGGGCACTGGTGGATTTCTGACTTGGGCATCAGGGTGCCATTATTTGAAACAGGGAATGGACTTTGGGCTGAAGATGCTGGACAGGTGTCATCAGCAAGAAGTCATGGTGAAAATGCCCAGGGCCCTCTGGGACACCAAATAAAGATACTGTTGCCTAGAGGGGTGTGGCCTGAAATGGACACGGGGAGTCCTGCTTGCACAGGACAAGAGCAGAGGAGGTCCTAGAGGGAGAAGAGTGCCCAAGCAGACCTAAGGGGCAGTATTAAGCAGCTTCCGCATGTAGTATTGGGGCTAAGGTCACGTGGAAATAGACACCACAAGCAGGGGCTATGGAGCAGGAGGGGAAGCATTAGGGAAGCAGAGAACGCAGGCTTCCAAACGCCGGGGAAGTCCCTCTACAGCTGTCACAGATCCAGGACAGGGCAAGTCACCCTAGGCGGCTGGAAGGACAGCAGAGCAGGTCCTCCCCCCAGGGCTGTAACAGCTCCCGGACATGGTAGGGGCTCCCACAGTAGTCTCCTTCGGAGTCCAGCTCAGGGAGGGCCGCCGCCTCTTCAGTTGCCTCATCCAACCGCACCAAGTCCCGACACCAGGAACCGGGCGTGGGCGTGCCAGGGCGAGGGGCGGAGCGACGAGGTAGGCGTGGGGAGCTTGGAGGCGGGGCGACGCGGGCGCTGCAGACGTCCGGGACAGGGCGTGGGCGGGGCGACGTGGGTGGGCGGGGCGGCGCGGCGATGCGGACGCTGGGAACGTCACAAGGGCGGGGCGGGGCGCCCCTGTGGGCGGGGCGAGCGTGAGGGGCGGGACGCCGGGGTGGGGCGAGCCCGGAGGGCGGGGCCGGCGCTGGGACCTGTGGGCGCAGGTGTCGCCTCGGCGGCAGGCTGTGCTTCAGCGCGTGCGCAGGCGGCGGGCGGCGCGGGGCGGCTCCGGGAGACTCCGGGAACTCCGGGAGGCAGAGCGGCTGGTGCGGTGCGGTGGGCTCCAGCGGCGGCTCTGCGGGACCGGGGCCACGCTCCACCTGCGCCGCACCTCCTGGCGCCCGGCTCGCGGCGCTCACGGTAGGTCTCAGGACGCGCCGGAGAGACCCGGGCCCGCGGGACGCTGGTCTGGCCGGGCCCGGCCCGCAGCCTCGCCCTCCCTCCCGACCGTCCTCCGCTCCCGGGCCTCCCCGGCCTCCCGCTGGCGGGTCGGGTCCAGCCCTGTCCGGCCGGCAGCCTCGCCCTCCCTCCCCACCGTCCTCCGCTCCCGGGCCTCCCCGGCCTCCCGCTGGCGGGTCGGGTCGGGTCCAGTCCTGTCCGGCCCGCAGCCTCGCCCTCCCTCCCGACCGTCCTCCGCTCCCGGGCCTCCCCGGCCTCCCGCTGGCGGGACGCGGTCCAGCCCTGTCCGGCCCGCAGCCTCGCTCTCCCTCCCCACGGTCCTCCGCTCCCGGGCCTCCCCGGCCTCCCGCTGGGGGGTTGGGTCCAGCCCTGTCCGGCCGCAGCCTCCTCCCGCTGGCGGCCGGCGGCGCTCACCTGCGTGCGGCTCGCACAGGTGCGGCGGCCTCGCGGGCGTCCGGTTCCGCGGCGGCCAGGGCCGCTCCCTGCGCCATGGGCGAGGTTCCGCGGCTCCCAGGGGAGGGGGTGTCGCCCCCGGGGGATTTCGGGGCCCCTCTGCAGTCGGCGTCCTGCGGTTTAGGAAGTTGAGACTGCGGTCTGTCTGGCCGTCCTTTTAAGAAGCCTTGCTGGTTTTCACCGTTTAAAAGGAGTAACCGAGCTGACAGTTCTGATTGAGATGAACTTCTGCTTGAGTAAACTGATGCTTACTTATTCAGCTTTATTTTTTGCCCTTTTCCATTCCACGATGATGGTGTAGGCTGCCCAGAAAATAGAAGAGAAAAATGAGCAACACTTACTCTGCAAGTAACATAGGCTTTATCTGCTGTTGTAAGAACTTCAAGTAGATTCACTGTAGGTAGGACTTACAGTCTGAAAGACAAGATTTTTGTGTAATATTTTAGAAGCTTTTGAAATGAGCTATTTTAAAACAATCTGTGGAGGTTTGTCATTACTGGTCATAAGCTGTGAAGGTGATTTAAAAGTTCATGAGTCACACTAACTGGGAGTTGGGTAGTTCTACAAGTGCAAAAAAGAAGAGACCAGGAACAGGTCTTTCCTTCTCCCTATGTATTTTCTTAAAAAATGGTTTATTTCCCTGAAAGATGCAAAAAATAGTTTTTTAAAAATTCCTCTTTTAATGGTATCACACTTTTCTACCTAGTTTATTCTTTCCCATAAAAGTCATAGTACTCTTAAGATTTCAGCATGTACTGTGACTCAAGATTTTTCACATGGTTTGGTTTCAAATGTTACACTGTATGTGTTCAAGAAATACAGTTTTGGTACCCACAGCTTAGAAGTTTGTTTCAGGAAGACACATTTGCAAAGAACTTTTTAGCTGGGTGCAGTGCTGTACACCTGTAATCCCAGTGGCTTGGTAGGCTGAGGCAGCAGGATCTCAAGTTCAAAGCCAGTCTCAGCAACTTAGCTGCTCAGTGAGATCCTGTCTCTAAAGTTAAAAAAAGAAAAAAGAAAAGGCTAAGAATGGGCTCAGTGGTCAAATGCCCCTGGGTTAAATTCCTGGGTACCAAACAACAACAATAACAACAACAAAAACACTTTTTATCTGTTTTAAGAAGCCAAGATCAGTCACTTTCCTGCTGGGACTTCTTGGAACCTTCTGAAATAGGGGAAGCATCCCTTTAACTCAGCTTCCCCCAAATGAATTTTTCTTTAGAGTAGTGGGTTAAGCTATCCTACAGAGATATCTAGCTACTAAAATACCTACCAGATACTGTGGCTGGACAGCCTTAACTGAAGGTGCTGCTTAATCATAGACTCAGGGAAACCTGGGCAGCTCCGAGTTGCTCCAGGAGCACTCTGCAGCTGGGTTGGTGCTCCTGTCTGTAGCCCTGGTCTCAGGAAGGAAGTGAGATACGATGGACATCGTCTTTGAGGAGCAGTATAGATGTTAGTGGTGATACAAATGTAGCATTAATTTACCGTTATTAATTTGGTACTGATAAAGCGATTTTAGAAATGATTTTAGTATATGCACATAATAGGAACAAGAGATGGCTGCAGCTTTTCCACATTTAAAACCTTTAGGGCTACTTAAATGTCCTGACCTTGGCAAGCTGTCACAGGCTCTATTAATAATAGGAATTCTAAGATCCTACAGACACGGAATGTGTAGGCAAAAAATATTTGCACTTTTTACCATTTAATTCAAATCATCTAGCAGTTTGCCCATGATTACAACTGTGGTCATTGGTCAGAATCAAATTTTGATATATTTGTTTTTATGTGTGACCTGATGATTTGTCCTTTTTTTTTTAAACCCTATGAATCTTACTTTATGCATTTAGAAACATTGTTCAGAGGAGGCCTTCTTGGACCACACAGTGTCTGTGTCAGGAGCAAAGGCTATAAGCTTTGGCCTGAGGTTGAAGAATCTTTGTTCTATATGGAACTTCAGAAAAGTTGCTTCATACTTGTAATTCAGCAGAAAACAAGGCTTTATTGCAACACAAATCACATTTCTCTATCTTTGCTTTAATGAACAAAATAGTTATCTGGGATGTCATAATATGAAAATAATTACATTAGTTTTCTAATTTATACATTTTGACCTGCAAAGAAAAAAAAAAGGAACTTTTAAGAATATTGTTCCTTTGGAAGTTATTTCTTATCTGCTGTGATTTTCCAGGCTAGCAGTTTATGGAATGAACGTCTAGCAACCCACTGTGGTGTGCTAGGCACAGTGGGAGGCACGAGAAATTCAGGTATTAATAGGACAATGGAATTAGTCCTGAGTAAGAATCCTTCCTTCTCTAAGTCTCATCTCTGGCTGTTCTCAACCTTCCCAATTACATTGAGCTTTTGAAGGTAAAAGGGTCTTTCCTCTTCTACCCCGGCTGTTGTGGGATTCTGCTGCCCCTGTTGCAGAGGGCACGTTACCTCTCCTGCTCGCCTCTGAACTCTGTGTGTCCTTTGTCAGAGATTTATCCCATGTTGCGGCAGAGTGAGGACAGCAAGTACAAGCATCTCAAGATAGGGTGGACTGTGGCTCCAGGGGCCAGGGACATGGGGCCGTGGCAAGCAGGGCCAGCACTGTCTTTCTGATGTATTAGCTTCTGACGTTTCAGTCACTGTCCCTTTCTCCTTAGTCCAAGAATCTTGTAAACCTTGATTTGAAATAGTAAACAGAATGAAGTGAAGCTTTCCCAGACTTTCATTTTGTAAGTTAGGGTCTTGCATATGTTAAATTTTCTTAAAGTGAGATAGTTCCGTGAACAAACTTGCTTATATCTACTGAGAACTGCTTACACATTTTAATATCAAGAAATTGACACTTTGTTGAATATAGAATTAAAGCTATAGTTAAGTTTGAGATTTAAGGAAATGGAGAAAGATAGAAAAATGAGACAAAATATAACACAGCTCTCTTTTCAAATCTTTGGGTCTACTGTTAAACTCATTATGCATTGAAGATAGCATTGTTATGATTAGCTCATGTTTGTTGAGTGCCTCCTGTGTTTTGGGTGCTCGTGGTATTTTACACATGGTTTGTGAGGTTCATAGTAACGGTGGGTACTTTCCGCGTGGAATGTGATCCCGGGTGAGGAAGCTGTGGACGTGTAGTGGTGGAGTGGTTGGGCAGGGTGTTGTGTGGCAGGAAGCCGTGTCAGAGGGAGCCTCAGTCGTGGGGTTGTGAGGTCTGTGTGGGACATGGGTCCAGCTTGTCAGCCCACTGGTATTCTTGCCATCTGATTCTGCTGTGACCATGCCTACACTGGCCTCCGGCACTGTCAGCTAGTGCCCACTCCCACCAGCCTCCCAGGCTTGGGTGGGCAGGTTGCTGGAGCCCTGAGTCCCTCCTGTGGTGTTGCCACGGAGCAGGTGGCTACACCGCTGCCTCCTCAGTGGAGCCAAGGCCCAGCTGCTGGGCGACGCTGAGTGCCCTGTGCCTGCGCCTGAGTGCCTGCTCATCCTGGCAACACTGGCTTTGAGAAGGTCTGTTGGAGATTTCTCCTTACCTCCTTCATTCAGTAACTGTCTGCAAGTACTTAGCCTGTGCCATGTGTTGTGCTAGGTGCTGGGATTTGCCTTATGTCCTAAGGGGATTGAGCGGAGAGGCAACAAGAAACGAGATCAGCTAGCTACATAGGAAGGTGCCAAGCAGCAAGAAACGTAAAGTGCTGGTGACCGCGAGCATGAGGGGTTGAGCATGGTGACCCCAGTTTTGAATAGGTGGGCTGCATGAGCTTTTAGAAGAGCAAGGCTCAGGGAAGACGTAGTCCAGTCAGCGGAGTCGCACTGCGAAGGCCATGGAGGCTTGGGGCTTGCTCATTGTACTCAGGAGTGACCAGCCTGTGGCTGGAGGGGAGAGTTCCACGTCAGGGAGGTGGGAGAGGCTGGAGGCATAGGTGGCGGGCAGAGGGATAGGGCACCTGCATGTGAATGTCTGAACCCTGAAATTCACACGTTGATACCTAATCCCCAGGGCAATGCTATTAAGAGGTAGGGTTTGGGGGGTGATTAGGCCCAAAGGTGAAGAAAGCTTATGAGCAGGATCAGTGTCCTCAGGAGAGGCTGAGGAGCCGCCCACCTCTGCCCACCGTGGTCTTGCACCTCTGCAGCCTGCAGAAAGGAGGGCAGTGGATGATTCTGTTGTTCACAGTAGTCCAGGCTGTGGACTCTTGTCATTGTAGCCGGGATAGGCTCAGTCCAAGGTCTTGGGGGGCTTACTTGTAAGGCTGTTTGGGTTTTAGTTGGAATGTAAGGGTCCTGAGTGCCAGGTTTTGAGCAGAGGAAGGATGTCCTGGTCTAATTTGGAGGCTTTCCTTGGTGGCACCTACGGTGGACTCAGATCCTAGGTGAGGTGGAAGCTGAGAGGAAGTAGGCATCTCTCCTGGCAGAGCAGACAGGACGTGGTAGACTAGGTGCCCACTGGGACTGCAGGGAGTCAGAATCTGACCTGGGACTCATGAGCACCTGGGAAGATGGAGTTGCCCCCGTGG